TGATCCTTTATTTTTCTGCCTAATAATGCAATAGCACTATTGTAAAGGAATGGGATCATTACCACTCCTTGTTGTTAGTATAGCAATGCAAGAAAAAACTCAAAATTCTACTTATAGGTGAATCCTTATGTTTGCATTCTGAGTCTTTTTTCTTGCATCGCCATACTAAGAACAAGAAAAGGTAATGATCCTTTATTGTTTTGCCTAATAATGCAATAGCACTTATGTAAAGAATGGGATCATTACTTTCTTTATTTTTAGTATAGCAATGCAAGAAAAAGGACTCAAAATAGCAGACATAAGGATTCACCTATAAGTGGAATTTTGAGTTTTTTCTTGGATTGCTATATTAAAAATAAGCAATGGTAATGATCCCATTCTTTACATTAATGCTATTGCATTATTAGGCAGAATAATAAAGCATCAATTTTACCTATAAAGCAATGTATTTACAAGCATCTATGCCTTTTGTGATGTCATGTTTAACCACACCCTCTGACAGGAAATAGCATGGTAGGAAGCAAAAATAAGCATCTTTGAGAGCTCATCTCAGTGAATAATTTTTTTGGACAGTAAAACTGAATGCACATCATTAGTAGGGTCAGGCAATCATATTAAGCCAATAAAAAATACCCTAAAAATACATGGTAGTTACCCTTTAATTGGTAACTATTAAGAGTAGATAATAACTAGAAGAGAGTGTCCTACAGTGCACTATGCCCCCAGCAAAGGCACCGAGTAGAAATAGAAAGTAACATTCTGGTTATTTTCGTATTTTATTTGAGTACTTATCATAAAATAACTAACAACGTAACTACTCAAATAAATATGAAAGTAACCGGAATGTGACTGTCCATTTCTACATGGTAATACAAGACACAATATAGTTGCTAGGACACTCTCCTCTAATTATTATCTACTTTTGCAATTATTTACTAGTTATGCAGTACAATGCAAAAAAAAGCTAAGTAGCTACTCTACTTTTGCATAGGTAGTTCGCTGCTCCTTCGTTGTGCATGTGCAAACTTACCAGTAGTAGTAGTGCACATGGTCAGCAGAAGGATAGTAGCTCGACGGTGACTCAAGCAAAGAGCTTCCTAAACAGCCTTCTAAAGGTAAAGGGCAGCAGTAGAGACAAACTTGGAGAGCAAAGACAGCCAAGAGAAGCATCTTCAAGTCCTTTGAGAGTCTTTAGAGCGTGAGCGCTTGCTATTACAGAACACGTGACAGGGGGTACTGCAGTACTTCTTGGGAGTAGCGCAGCGAAGAGTAACGAAGAGTAGTAGAGTAAAATAACTACCTACGCACTACCTGTGTACTACTTATGCTACTTAGCTTTTATCACCTTGTACTGTAACTAGTTAAATGGGGCGAGCCTGAGAAAGCCCCAAAAAGATGAGAAAGCATCTGCATGTATGTACGTGCATAGGGCTGATCGTCTAACTATTACAATGTGACTGCATGCTTGATTGGTTTAGACACACCCTTTTTGCTTGCTCTTAATACTCTTTTGCTGCCATGAGCCTAATGTTAGCACAATGTGACTGCATGCTTGATTGATTTAGACACACCCTTATTGCTTGCTCTGAATGCTCTTTTGCCTGCAGTTATAGTGCAGTATAATTTTAAATTGCTACTTATTATTCTTATAGGTTTCATCATGGCTGTGTTTATACCTTCACTAAAAAATACAGTAGTGTATTCCTCAAACAGCAGAAGTGCTATTGTCAATTCTCAAGCTAAATTATTATTAATCTATAAAAGTTGGTGCAAAGCAAGCATGGACAATGCATTAGAAGCAGTTATCTCAAAGGGATGCAGTACTCATAGAGCAGCTAATTTTTAATGTACCTAAGTCTACTCTTGGTGACAGGGTTAGTGGTCAAGTTGCAAACCATAAGCTTAGTGGACCAAGGAAGATTCTGAATGATGAGCAAGAAGTTTTAGCTAACTTCTTGATAGTCTGTGCTTCAATCGGCTATGCTAAGTCTCGTTCGGAAGTAATAGGCATAGTAAATCAGATATATAAATCCAGAGTAATTGATAAGCTCATAAGTAATGGTTGGTGGGATGGATTTTGTAAACACCACCCAAATTTGACACTTCAAGCAGCACCACACTTATTTCAAACTAGATACTTTTCCTCTCATTGGTCAATTTTTGAACAGTACTATTATGATGTATTAGAGAAACTTTTACTGAATATTATCTTATGCAGAAACCACACAAGATTTTCAACATGAATGAAACTGGAGTTCCATTTGACCCTTGTCCACCTAGATGCGTATTTGAAAAAGGAGAGAGAAGGCCTACTGTTTAACATCAAGAACCAAAGGCCAGTTTACGGTAGTGGGCTGTGTAAATGTCGCTGGCTTTTGTTTGCCTCCAATGGTCATCATAGATAGAAAATAGTTGAATCAAACGATTACAAAAGGTGAAATACCAGGCACTTCATATGGGTTAACAGCAAATGGATGGATGGATCAAGATATTTTCAATTTATGGTTCAGAGATCATTCTTTTAAACACATACCTTCCTCTCGACCAATAATCTTATTAATGGATGGCCACAAGTCCAATTATAATCCTGATACAATACAGTTTGGATCTAAAGAAAGAATAATATTGTTTAAGCTGCCTCCAAACACTATACTCACATATCTTAGCCATTAGATTGAAGCTGCTTTGGGCCATTCAAGCTAGCATGGAGGGAGGCTTGCCACAGGTTCACATATAGTACAAGACAAGTAGTTACGAGGAATACCTTTTTTCAATTACTCAATGAAGCATGGAGTGTAGCAATGATGAGAAGTAACATTATAAGTGGTTTTAAAGTCACTAGCATTTACCCTTTCAATTGTACTGCTCTTACTCCACAATCAGCACCTGAGGTAGAATCCCAGTTACTACACATACCACAATTAACTCCCAAATGCTGTTCTTGTAGAAGAGAATCTGCAGAGCTCTCAAATGCAAGTTTTGATGATCATGATATTAGCTGTTCTCCCGAAGACTCACCAGCAATTCAGCTGCACAAAAGATCAAGTTTATCAGATGCACTAAAGTATCCACAGCCTATAACACCACCAAAACTCCTTCTAAGTCACTATCTGCTAGTATCCTGACTAGAGATGATAATATTAAAGCTATTCAGCAAAAGAATTAGCAAAGGAAAAAGCTGCACAGGAAAAAAAGTTAAAGAAGGCTACAAGAGCTGAAAAAAAGCAATAAAGGCAAAAATGAAGATGCAAAGAGTTGTGCCTAGAGAGGAATCAGATGATGGTATAGAACATAATTTTTTTTAATTGTAATATTCTTTTATTTTGCAGAATACTCCAGCCAAAGTTTGTTTGAAGAGGAGTTTTCAGCGGAGGAAATAGAGATCTTTATGAAGTGCTATGAAAATGTGTATGATTTAAAGCATGATGCACATTATAATAAATGGAAGGAACAATATGAAGCAGGTATTGTTCTAATTAACTGCATTTAATTCAAATACACTGTTCTATAAGGTGAACTAAGTCATGAAGAAACTGAAGTTTCATATTTTTAATTATGCTATGACAATAGTTTTTACAGGTGATATTGAAGATGTTTTAGATAATCATGTACCAATACTTGATCCTTTTATTGACATTTCAGCTAATGGTATATATGCATGTTCATATCAATCTATTATTATCTTAATGTTATCATTTGTTAAGCTATTGATGCTCCCTTGCTGCTTCTGCTACAAAATGTAAATGTGTACCTGCTAATAAAGATTTATGTGTAAGAGTGCTTCTTCAGTTATTGGTATGATTATTATTTGATTTATTTGTTTATTAATTACTTTTATTTATTTTTATAAAGGCGTTACTGGCACTAGGGCTACAAGAGGTAACAGTGAATCTATATCTGAGGATTTAAGTGTAAAGACTGCTTATCAGAGCTAAATATAACGTTCCGACAAGGGACAATTTCTGTGCAAATGCTGCTTATGGCCACACAACTGGTGGTTTATCCAGTCAACATGTCCAGGCATCATGGGCAGATCTGGGGTTAACATGATGGTAGGGCATTAATCAAATTCATGAGTAGGTGTGGTTTATTAATAGTCATTACAGTTATTAATCTTGGCTTAAGCTCTTCCCAATGCTTGTGGTTAGTTGTCACAGCTGGGTAAATATGGGCATGGATTGAGATTTCACTGAATGTATAGGACAATGAGGCAGTAGTTTACATCAAGAGTATATATTAGGGAGGAGAGTATCCAACAGACCGTCTGCAATAGGCATGGTAACTAGGGGTTCGGCTTCAGTCAGCCATCTTGGAGTACAATAATAAAAATGGCTCATTCATTGATCCACAAATTGTGCTGTATTTTGAGCCAAATTTCAAGAGAAATTACTTGATTTAAAACCTTTTTAAACTTGTTTACTACAAAGATAAGGCATAGTCCTGTCTTTTAATAGTTCTTTTTTGAACTATACTCAACATGGAAGAGGGAAAACAGTGTGTGCAGGTGTGTAATTTTGGTCACATTTTTGCCATTGTAGGAGCTCTTCAATAAGTCTGTCCTGTATTATAATGCAGTATACGAACTTCCAGTAAGTTATTTTTATAATTTTGAAGCTCATTACTCTCAATTTTTGTACAGGAGTCCTAAAAACATGACAAAAATGGCCCGAGTTCACTCAAGGATTTAGCCACCTAAAAAATTAAAAAAAGAAATATAAGTTCCAGAATTTATTCTTCATAGCGTTATCTTTTTATTAATTTGCTCTTAACTCCTAAAATCCAATTTTCTTTGATTTTATAAAGCATGAAAAGGATAGGTACATAAATGGGCCATTTTTTTACTTGTACTCCAAAATGGCTGACAGAAAACCAAACCCCCTAATTACCACGCCTATTGCAGACAGTCTACTGCCCTATAAGGCTGGTGATATGTCTGTGTAAAGTTTACTTGCACCTATGCTTGCACTCTATTCAGCACTTCCTTTGAATTGTTACAAAATGCTAGTTTCAATCTAGAACCAAGTATGAGACACAGTAAGAATCATTTAGGGCGTGTCATTTAATAACTTTGTCACTCCCGAATAAGAAAATGGCGTCGGCATTACTGCTTGAGGATGATGTAGAAGAGGTGTCTGAAATCAGTCCTGATGATGGATCTTTTGTTTATAATAGGAAGAGTTTTAATGATAGTATGTCAACATCGGGTCACTTACACTTTACCGGTCCCAGGTAGATTGGCCATTTTAAGGCTATGACGTCACCTATGACATCATAAATGGACGCCCCACCATAGCCGGAGCTAAAAGGATGCTATATAAGGCAAGGCTTTTATGGTGGGGGCAGGGTGAAGGTGGCTGCCCATCTGAATCATATAAATGAATTTAATAAGAACTATTGTTTTAAAAAGAATATATTTGGAAGTGGAAACTGTAAAAAAAGAAATAAATATTGCAGCAGCAATTAGAGGAAGGTAATTTGTTTCCGAGCTCCTAAAAAACTAAACACTAAACCCTAACCCCTAAAC